TGAGCTACATCCTCAGCCCCGAGATCTGATTCATTTTTATATATCCTAGTTCTCTGGTTAAATTCTATATCCTATCTTCCATTTTTTAAATATATCAATAACTGATCATAGTAATTTTACTGAGTATTTGAGATAAGGTCTCACAGTGATCCTCCTGCCTCAGCCTTCACCAGTGCTAGGATTACAGGTATATACCACCTTCACAGTAATTTTAAAGTCCAAGTTTAGGGCTGGGGATTTAGCTCAGTGGTGCTGCTGCCTCCCCCACAAGCGCAAGGACCCGAGTTCGATCCCTGGTACCAAATAAATAAATAAATAAATAAATATAGTCCAAGTTTGGTAATTTTAGTATCTGAATCACCGATGAAACTGTTGTCCTTTTCTCTGTCTTTTATTATGTTTGGTAATTTTTAATTGAATGACAGACAATGCCAATGAAAAATTATAGAGGCTCTGGATGAGGCTATTTTCGTCTAGAAAAAAAAAAAAAACTTCAGAGCTTCTGGCAATTAATTAGAATTGAGCCACTGTAACTAGGAATTGAGCTAATTAGAAGCAGTACTTGGTCTTTATAAGACTGGTCTATATCCGATCTACCCTCACTCCTAGTGTGTAGTCCTTCAGAGGAGGTAATTCAAAGCGAGGTCCTAAGCCTTGCCACCTTGGTTGCTACTACACTGAAATTTTTATTTCTCCAGCACCCTGAGACTACCAATAGCTCTGCTTAGCTCCTTGGCCTATTACTAGACACTTCCTGTTCCACTCTCTGCTTCTCAGCCTGTACCACTTACAAACTGGTAAATGCTTTAAGAAGAAAGCAGCTCAAACTATTGGTCTCACTTTTTGTTTGGTTTGTTGGGGTTTTTTTGGTACTGGGGATCAAACTCGGGATCTTGTGCTTGCGAGGCAAGTGGCAGAGCCACTGAGCTAAATCCTCGGCCCTTTGGTTTCATTTTTTATACTTTGTTCTCAAGTCCTGGTAATCTTGGCACTTTCCAGTGCCTTCAACCAGACATGTTTTACACTGATCCTGCTTATCTAGCCGTTCTTGACAGGAGGAGTGTTGGCCTGCTACTACAAGCCAATCCACCAATCCACCAGAACCAGAAGGGAAGTACATAACTTGGCTTCAGTGAGCCCATACTGGTGACTCAGGAGCACTTTCTCCAAGCCCAAATCACATGCAAAAATGTGTCCTGTAACATTGTAAAAGTCACTGACAGGCTCTTTAGTGAGAACAAATTAGCACTGTAGAAAGAACAAAGGCCGGGAGCCAGACTAGGGTTTAACTCCAGGTTCCCATTTTGGCCAAGTTGTTTTCCCCCTTTAAGTCTTGGTTTCTTCTGTTCCAAAATAGGAATAGTAACTTATTTCACAGGGGTCTTAAGAGAATTGAGTGAGGAGCCGGGGATTTAGCTCAGTGGTTCCGCTGCCTGCCTTGCAAGCGCCATGTACCAAGTTCAATCCCTAGCACCAAAAAAAAAAAAAAGAGAATTGAGTGAGGTAATATGTACAAAGTATTTACAGTGCCTAGCACACAATAAGCTTCATATGTTAGTTACCTGAGATCAACTTTTTATCTCTTTTTGAAAACAAAAGCTATCAATTTTGCCTTTCAAAGTTCTAAAAACATTACAACTATCTTCTAATGGATCCTGGTTTTCATTTATCCTTGTTAGTAAAAAGTAGTAACAGGATATTTACATTATCAGTAGCCTCCTATCATAATGTTTTGATGCTTCAGATAATTTAGAATGGGCCTCAGTATCAGAAATACTGTAACAAACAGTTCTCAAAAAGCCTATCAGCTAATGGGCTGGTTTTCATATTAAACTAACATGTACATAGCAGGTAGTTGGACTGCATGCCATCTACTACAGAAAAGCATATGCTGAATGTAATGTGTGTTTACGCTACATCTCCATTTACGTGACCGTTTCCAGTTGGAGTAAGATGTGATTGGATGAAGTAATTTTTATCATCAGTACTCAGCTAAACACAGAAAACAGAAACATCTGTTAGAGGCAGTCAAAAAATGTCATCCGTGATTATTAAATCCCTTTTGTCTCTCTTATGTAGACTTTTCTTCTCCACTTTCACATAATCTTTCACTACGAACTAAATAATAAAAATCTGCTCAGACTGGGGATTTAGCTCAGTGGTTTCACCGCCCGCTGTGCAAGTGCAAGGACCTGAGTTCAATCCCCGGTACCAAAAAAATAAAATAAATTAAATAAATTTAAAAAATTAAAATCTGCTCAAGATTAAAAACCAAACAATGCAAAGCCATGATAAACTTTCTCTTTAAAAGTGTTCTTTTTCATTTGGCTTGACATAATTTTATTTATATTTTATTACTTGGAGATACTATATTAAAATACATCTTCAAGAGCCAAGGATTTAGCTCAGTGGTTCTGCTGCCTGCCTTGCAAGCACAAGGTCCCAAATTCGATCCCTGGTACCAAAAAAAACCAAAAAACAAAAAACCTTTAAACTGGGTGTGATAGTGTATGCCTATAATCCCAGCACTTGGGAGGCTGACCAGCCTAGGCTACATAGTGAGTTCAAGGCTAGGCTGAACTACATTTTGAGACCCTGTCTGAAACAAACAAATCTTCATTATTACCTCCCTAGTACAACTACCGTCTTGCTTAAACTGTTGCAATACCACCCCAGCCATTTTCCCTGCTTCAGCTCTTGTCCTATAGTTAATTTCCCTCACAATATCCACAGAAATATTAAACATAAATTATAAATATGATCATTTATCTCCTAATTTAAAAGTCTCCAGTTATCTTCCTATCACACTACAAATAAAACCCAAACTCTTGCCCATCTATGTTTACAAAAAGTCCTGTATGACCTGGCTCCTAACTTCATTTAGATCTTACTCAAATTTCACTTCTTCATCGCACTTTCTCTGAACACACTAGCCACATACATGACCATCACTCATTATCCTTTTATCCAGATTTTTCTAAATCTACTTACTCTTAATTGAAATCACATTTTTTAAAACTTTAGCTTTATATTCGCCACCTGCTGTGCAAGTGCAAGGACCTGAGTTCGATCCCCGGTACCAAAAAAAGAATAAAAAAATAAAAATGAAAATTTTAGCTTTATAGGGGCCGGGGATTTAGCTCAGCGGTTTCGCTGCCTGCTGCACAAGCGCAAGGACCCAAGTTTGATCCCCGTACCAAAAAAAAAAACAACAACAAAAAAACCCTTTTAGCTTTATAGAGAGTAACTGGCATAAAGTAACTCCACATTTTAACATGTATAAGTTTACAAGTTTTGACCAACTCATATAACAAGGTAACTTTCACAATCAAGATAGTGAGCATAACCACCACATTCCCCTTTCAATTTTACTGTTCATCCCAAAGAACTAGCTTTATTTCAGTGATGTTCACCTTATTTTTCTGTTTATCTTTTTTCTGCTCAGATCTTTATTAATTATTATTATTATTTTTTTTTTGGTACTGGGGATCAAACTCGGGTCCTTGTGCTTGTGGGGCATGTGGCAGAACCACTGAGCTAAATCCCCGGCCCCTATTTTGCTTATTTTCAGTTTATCTTTTCCTGTTTTCTTAATGCAGAAACAGCAATAATTGACAAGACCTCTTATTTTCTAACATAAGCATTTAATACCATCAATTTCTCCCTAAGTGCTACTTTAGTAACATCCCACATATTTCAATAGGTTATGTTTTCATTTTCATTACTTTAAAAATGATATCTAATTTCCCTTCTGATTTGTTCTTTGATCCAGTGGTTACTTGGGAATACGTCCAAATATTTGAGGATTTTCCAGATATCTTTCTGTTACTAATTTTTTAATTCCATTGTTGACAGAGAATATACTTTATATGATTTGAATCCTTTTAAATGTATACAGTCTTGTTTTATGGGCCAGAATATGGTCTATCTTGCAAATGTTCCATGTACACCTGAAAAGAATATGTATTTTTCTATTGCTGAAGAAGTATTCAATGAAGGTGGTTGACAGCACTGTTCAAGTCTCCCATATATTCACTGATTTTCTACCTGCTTGTTCTATCAGCCATTGAAAGAGAGATACTGAAATCTCTGACTATAATTGTGCATTTGCCTATTTCTCATTGTAGTCTAAGTCTTTATCTTATATGTTTTTAATATCTCTTATAAACATTTAAGACTGTTATGTCCTCCTGAAGAACTGACCCCTTTAGCATGAAATGAGCTTATGTATCACTGGTGATTTCTTCTCTGAAATCTGTTTCTTTTTTACTTATTACATGTTTCTTTTAGAAATATAAGCAGCATGATGCCAGGGGCTGTGCCTTACTTTGTATCCCTAGCACCTAGCAGACTAGATGGCATTTGGTAAGTACTTAACAAGTCTCACAAAGGAAAAGGCCAAGTGTGGATAGTGTTGGGATGCAAACACAGATACTGAGGTAGGGGCTAGGAATAAGTTATTGAAAAGGTGCCTGTTGTGAGGAGAGTACATATTATAATCAATAAAATAAGTACAGAGACAATTTCAAGAATATGATATCAACCACAAAAAGGATAAGCACAAGATTCTTAGGAAGATAAAGGAGTAATATCTAACCTAATCTAAGGTGATGAAGGATTTTCAGAGGCGGTAAAACCTCAGCTAACATCTATAGAGCCAACTATAAAAGAAGGAAGAATGGCCCTCTCTGAGGAGACAACAGCATAAACAAAGACAATTAGGTAATAGAGAATATAGTACAGTGCCATGAAAGTATGTCAGAACTCTCTCAGGGGTTCTTAAGATGTTTAAAAAAACATATTGCCAAGCTGGGGATTTAGCTCAGTGGTTCCGGCACCTGCCTCACAAGCACAAGGTCCCAAGTTCGATCCCCGGTACCAAAAAAAATTAAAATTAAAATAAATAAATAAAAACCATACTGCCAAAGGCTCATAGCACAGGCCCTGAGCTACTGAGCTGCTCTTTGGCATGCCAAACACCTCTGCTCCCAATAACTGACCTGTGTGCCTATTACAAGACTCTCAAGTTGTTCTTTTTTTTTTTTTCAAATCAAGTTGTTCTTATCTTTTCTTGTTATTGCAGTTTGACTAGACATCACTACAAAGACATTAAGATAGGAATGCAAAAGACAGTTATTTCCATGAGAATCAAATTAATTGCATTTGAAAGACCAGACAGAAAAGATAAATTTAAATTTTTTTTCTTAAAGTATATACGAGGGAGGAAAATATAAAAATTATAAGGAAAGTTGTCAAATTGGAAGATCTGTACTTTCAAGCTATATGACCAATAAAAATAGAAAAGAGACTGGAAAGAAATGTGGTTGCTATTGTGAGGAGGGTCTGCAGGATTCTGCATGCCCCGCTAAGGTATTTAGACTTCGTGCTAAGGTCACTGAGTGTTCAAAGGTAATGACTAAGACAGTGACAAAATTAGATTCATGTTTTAAAAAAATGGCCATGACTACAAAATAAAAAGTAAATGACCTGGGGATTTAGCTCAGTGGTTTTGCCGCCGGCTGCATAAGCACAAGGACCCAAGTTCGATACCTGGTACCAAAAAAAAAAAAAGTAAATGAGCAAGACTGAAATGAGAAACACTAGTCAGAAAGCTGTTGCAATAACCTGGGCAAGAAATGATGATGAATTAATTAATAGTATTTTTTCTGTTCTTGGGCCGGGGATTTAGTTCAGTGGTTCCACCACCTGCCTCACAAGCTCAAGGACCCAAGTTCAATCCCCAGTACCAAAAAAACAATGAGTATTTTTTTCTATTCTTAAGAACTAATTTTATGGGTTAAATAAGCTTTGGTAGGCTTTCTAAGAAACCAATATTGCTGTACAATTTTCATAAGAAAGCATGTTTCAATGAACCAATTATAAGCCACTTAGCAGACAACCTATTCCAGGACTGGGAACTGTTATAATCTCTTTGCCATTAAAAATAGTCACTTTTGGGCCAGGGATTTAGCTCAGTGGTTTGGCTGCCTGCCTCGCAAGCGCAAGGACCCGAGTTCGATCCCTAGTACCAAAAAACAAAAAAAAAATAGTCACTTCTGCAGAAGCCTCATCTGTTTCCCCAAGTTACAATCTTATCCTGAATCATTTCCACTATAATTGTGAAACCTCCTTCTTATGCAGAGGACATATAAAAGAGGACTATTTCTAAATGTTTTTCAAAACTAGACATTTTTTTTTAAAACTAGACCTTTTTAAATGTCTGTACAAAAACTGAGGTTAGGCCAGGGATTTATCTCAGTGATTCCGCCACCTGCCTCGCAAGCGGAAGAGCCCAAGTTCGATCCCTGGTACCAAAAAAAAAAACAACAACTGAGGTTAGGCTTTGGTATCTGTGACTGTAAACTACTCTTGGTATCCAGAAAAGAAAAGAATACTTACTTCATGAAATATTGCTCCAGAATAAGGAGACACACCCAAGTCCAGCAGTGAAAGGCCTTCGACCACTGAAAAGTAAGACATTCAAGTTCAGACCTCAGAGACATCAACAGATGGTCAAAAATTAAAATGTTACAGCCTGGTGTGGTGGTGCACACCTGTAGTCCCAACACTTGGGAGGATGAGGCAGGAGGATTGCCAATTCAAGGTCAGCCTAAACTACATAGCAAGACCTTGTCTCAAAACAGTAACAACTAAAATGTTACATATTCCCAGAACCAAGAAGGGCCTCAAAGATTAATCTCTTTTGCCTCATCCTCAACAAGTGGCTTTAAATTTGGATTTGAACTTTACCAAGAAGAGGGAACTCTCACACACAGCACCCTTTCCATTGTGAGGCACCATTCACTGCAAGAAAGTTTTATGTTAAACTGTAAATAACTTCTACCTCCTTGTAACGTCTACCTACCCTAGAAAGGTTTCATTTATGTATATTCTGTCGTTGCTTATAGAGTGAGGAAATGGGCAGTCACTCTCATATGCTGTTTCTTACCTTTGTATTAAATTTTCTACACAGCAATATGTATTTTTAGTTATATGACTTTTGATCCTAAAATAATGGTTTTTATTTTTCCTTTTAGTTTTTTGTTTTGCTTTATTTTTTTGAGATACGGTCTCACCATGTAGTAGTCTTGAACTCACGACTTAGCCTAGGCTGGCCTTGAATTTGCAGTGATCTTCCTGTCTCAGCCTCCTGAGTGGTGGGATTACAGGCATGCACCACTATACCTGACATCTAAAATGATAGTTTTGTTTTGTTTTGTTTTTTGCCAGGGGAGAGCGTGAACGCAGTCCAAGGAAACAACTGGATAAGTGCCCAAAGAGGCATACTAAGGACAGTGAAAATCTGGAAATAATCCCAATGCCCATTAATGGAGAATTATTTGAATAAGTTATAATATATGTATCCATATATAACAGAACCCTTTTGTTTTTGCTGTTGCTTGAGATAGTGTGTCCTATGTAGTTCAGGCTGCCCTTGAACTCACTATGTATCGAGGCTGCCCTCGAATTTAGGGCACCCCTCCTTCCTCAGCCTCTTGAGTGTCAGGATTATAGGTGTGAGCTACCACACCTGGCTTATAATGGAACACTTTATGGTGAAATTTTATACCGTGTTATAAGTAACTAAATAAGTAGAAAAGAGTTCTTCTAGGGGCTGGGGATTTAGCTCACTGGTTTCGCTGCCTGCTGCACAAGCGCAAGGACCCAAGTTCGATCCCCAGTACCGGAAAAAAAAAAAAAAAAAAGAAGAGTTCTCCTTGTAGAGCATTCTAAGTATCAAATTAAATGGAAAGTGGAAAGATGGGACAGAAAATCAGCATTTGGTGGACTGAAGGCAATAATAACTGAAAGGCAATTATCATCAACAGATACTAAAATCAGTGGGCAAAATATATGAAGAAAAAATATTTGTATGAGGAAAAATAATAATTTTACAGGGCTGGGGATGTAGCCCAGGGGCAGAGCTCTTGCTTAGCATGCACAAGGCCCTGGGTTCAATCCCCAGTACTACAAAAAATAATAATTTTACATAAATAAACCTACCATTCACTACCTTAATCATGTGACCCAAGTTAACATCATCAGTAATATGTTAACCATGTTAATATCAAGTACCTTCTGCTATGAGTAACAGACATGGAGACAAGAACATTATTGTGGTCCTTGTATCAAAAATGTGATACCCTTGCCAAAAAAGCATAAATTCAATCTAATCATCAGAAAACATCAGGCAAATCCAAACTGAGAGTCCAAATAACCAGCCAGTATTCCTAAAAATGTTAAGCCTGAAGAAGTATACTAGATTGGAAGAGACTCTGAAACAAAACAACTAAATGCAAAGTGAGATCAAAGACTGGATATTACACCAGAAAAAGAACATTAGTGGGGAAGTGGCAAAATTCTATTTAGGTCTGTACCTTGGTTAACAGTATTGAATCAGTGTCCATTCTCTGGTTTAGGTCATGTACTTTAATGTTAAAGAACGTTAGGAAGCAAGCACTGGAAGAAGCCAAGTGAATGGCAAACTGGAACTGTATACACTATTTTTGCAACTTTTTTGAAAATCTAAAAATTACTTCAAAATTAAGAGTTAAATTTTAGCTGGACATGGGGTATATGCCTGTGATGCCAGCACCCTGGCAGGCTGAGGCAGGAGGATCACAAATTTGAGCCCAGATTGGGCAATTTAGTGAGACCCTGCCTAAAAATTTTAAAAGTAAAAAAAAAATTTTAAAAGGGCTAGGGATGTAGCTCAGTGTGAAGGCCCTAAGCTCAATGTCCAGTAATGTGGTGGCGTGGGGGGGGGGTACTTAAAATATAAAACCATACTACAGATCTATATTTACTGAAGAAAAGCTATGAAATGTGTGTGTGTTAGTGGAGACAGAACCTATGGTCTTCACCCTGGGCTTCCCTATCCACCCTTTCCTAAATACTTTTTTTTTTTAAATTTTGAGACAGGGTCTCACTAAATTGCTAAGTTGGCCAGGTTGGATGAAACTTGCAATCTTCTTATTTCAGATTCCCAGAGTACTGGGATTACAGGTGTGCATCACCATGCCCAGCTTGAAATATTCTTAAATGAAAACCAGATCATAACCCAACATATAAAATATGTAAGATATGTTATAATTTTATTTTAAATTTGTATAAGCATTCATTCAATTATTTGAGATAATGAATGTTATCAATGAAAAATATATGGAAGCCCAGAGGAAAGGACTTCCAAGCTGCTGTTCCACCACTCGCAGCCCAGAGGAAGGGGCTTCAGGGCCACCATTCCACCACTCCCAGCGCAGAGGAAGGGGCTGCCATTCCACTGCTCACAGCTCAGAGGAGGTGAGCCACACAGGTGCCAACAGCACACCCCCCCCCCATCGAAATGAGAAGACACGTAAGCAAGTCTCAAAACCAGACTTCCAGATCACCTACAGCAACCCCAAAGGGAAACGAGATGGAACACTCTGATACTCAA